TGCTCACTGCAGGGACCTGCTGTTATCATGAGCTCAGCTTCCCTCCCTCCCGGTCACTGTGGTGCACACTCACGTGATGCATACACACACACACAAACCCACACACGCACATACACGTGTGCATACGTGCACGCGTACGTGGGCACACCCATCCGTGCAGGCACAGACCCACACACTACACACATGCATGCTGCCCCCACCTGCACACACACATACACGTGGATGCTCTCCCCCCGTACAGCACCGCGCACAAGGGCCTGGAAGCCATGTCCTCTCAGACGGCGCCCAGCTGTGGGAGGTTTACCAGTCATTTGGCACATTTATTAAATGTCCACTCCCCTGAGAGGATGCAGAAAGACCAAGGAAGGAACCTGCCCCGGAAGAGCTTGGTTTAGCCGAGCACAATGCAACTGGCTCACCCTACGTGGCACTAGGGGGTCCTTGGGCACAGGATAAATATTTGCCAGGAGGGTGGACTCGGGGCCTGGGTGCTGGCAAGGGCCCCAGAATCCTGCAGATCCTGAATTTGTCCCCAGCCAGGCCTCCTTCTCTGCTGTTTCCCTCCCCTCCCTGTGTTTTGAGAAGTGTAGTCTATAAAATTAATTATACTCTTTAAGTAGTCATTTATTTCCCTACTTTCACTGATTACACATAACTCCTTCTGAAATGAAACCCTCGATGAGAACACTATCTGGTTGATAGTTGTCCTGTGTGGCCATTTGGGGGTAAACGTTTGATCCCCCCGAGCCATTTTTAAATAGCAGTAGTCACTCTCCGACGCCCACACTTTTGTGGCCCCCGTCTGGGAACCACTGAGCAGATCCAGCGCTGCGGTTTTGCTCAGACTGAAGCCTGGGGAGTTGGGGAGCCCAGCCCTCCTGACTCCAACCCGAGTGGCCTGAGCACTCCCCGGAGGGTGGGGCAGGGTCTGATGCTGTGTGACTGACCCCTTCTGTCTCTTTCCCACAGCTGTCAGCGACTACTTTGGGGGCAGCTGCGTCCCCGGGGCAGGAGAGACCAGTTACTCAGAGTCCCTCTGTCGACTCTGCCGGGGCAACACCGCTGGGGAAGGGGTGTGTGACAAGAGCCCCGTGGAGAGATACTACGACTACAGCGGGGCCTTCCGGTGAGAGGGGCTGGGACGGGGCCACAAGCGCAGGGGAAAAACACCTCGGCCCAGGGAGGGCCCCTGGGGGAGTGGCGATGTCAGCTGCCTCTCATCAAAGCACCCTTTATATAGTCCATGTGGCTGGTTAGTTTAAAAACCTCAAACTGGTATATGCCAGGTGGGATTTGCTCATAAAATCAACATGTTTGGTATATTTAGAGAAGTAAGGGCTCAGAGAGAAGAAAATGGCCCAAACAGCCTTTGGCTGCTCCCAGGTCCCCGTTCTGGTGTCTGAGACCTGGAGGGAGGATGCTGGAGTGGGGGTGCATGGGGGGACCCGCGAGGCTTCATGCTCAGGGCTGGCCTCTCTCTGCCCCTGTTCAGGTTGGCACTTTAGAGCAGCCCTCCATGGAGACAAGAGAGTCTCTAACTGCTTGTGGTGCACTTCCATCTGTCCACAAAGGAGGAAACACTCGATGGGGGCTGGCATGGGAGTCTCCCAGGTCCCTCTGATGGCCCTGGCCACAGTGTTTCCACCTGGAACCCGAGAGCCTGCTGGGGCCCCATGCCCCAGGGTGTAATAAGGGAAATGCAGTTTGGGGCACAGAGAGAAAAACAGTTCTTGGTCCTCCAAGCCAGAGAACTCTCACCACCCCATCTCTCCTGGTGTCATCCCCCGAGTCCAGTCCCTGCTTGTTTGCTGGCTGTAGGGACCCAGGCAGCCCCTTTGCCTAGTAGGCCCTGACCTGCCTCCGTCCCTGGGCAGTGACAGATAGGGGATCCACAAAATCCTTGTCCCTTCCACTCAGGGTTTTTGGTATGACCTCGGGAGTCATCTTCAACACATCCTGAGTGTTCAGGCTGCTGACCAAGCAGCTGCCTTATGATCACCTGCTCCTTTCAGGCCCCAAGCTCAGCTGTACAGGATCTATACGGATTCTAAAGGGTCTCTCCCTACGGGAGCCACTTTCTCATCCCCACTTTACAGGCGATAGAGGCTAGGAGGGCTCCACAACTTGCCAGAACCACACAGCCAACAAACTGGGGAACTGGGACCCAGGACAGCATGACTGTGAAACCCGTGCCCGCCATGACCCCAACCCCACGCCCAGGCCAGACCTCCCGAGGTGGAGGATGGCAGCTCATTGGTTCCACCTGCGCAGGTGCCTGGCAGAAGGGGCGGGGGACGTGGCCTTTGTGAAGCACAGCACGGTGCTGGAGAACACAGACGGTGAGTGGAGAGGCTGCCCCCAGCCGCGGATCTCAGGGCCCATAACCCTCCCTGACAGAAAGAAAGAGGTGGGGCTCACCCATGGAGCTCAGCTGCTCTGCGGGCAAGGGAACCGGCTGAGCTGCTCTGCCCCGCTCTGATACGTTTCTGGCCTTGGGTTCCGTTTCCGTGTGAAGATTCTGCTTTTGAAGAAAAAAAGTTTGCAAACCTCTGCACTAGCTGTCATCTACTGTCCCTTCCAGCCTTTGTTCCTTTTCCTGAAGAAGCCATCCCTTATCCCTGGACGAGGACTTGTTAAAAGATGGGTTGGTGTTAGGTGTCGATCCATTATACCATTGTCATTTTAAAATTTTTAGATTTTGAAATAATTGAGCTTTAGAAAAGTTGCAAGAATAATTCAAAGAAGCCGCATTTATTCTTTATCCAGATTCCAGCTTTGAGCATTTGCCACGTGGAACTGATCATTCTTTCTGTACGTGTGTGTCTCTCCGAACCACCTGAGAATATGTTTGCCCACATCACACCCTTTAATACTTTAGTACGTCTCCTAAGAGCAAGGTGATGTGGACCTCACCACACTGCGGTTACCAAATTCAGGAAATGTAACACAGACACAATATTTAAGCTACAGTCCATGTTCCAGATTCACCAACTGTCCCAATTCTGTCCTTCGTAGCAATTTTTTCAGGCCAGGGCCTGATCTTTCATCACACATGGTATTTAGCTTTTAAGTTGCTTTAGTTTCCTTTAACTTCGAACAGTTTCTCAATCTTTGTTTTTAGTGACATGGACATTTTTGAAGAGTCAGGCCGGTTATTTCATAGAATGTAGCCTAATTTGGATTTGCCTAAGAATCTTCTAGTTTTTTTTTTTAATTGAGGTATAATTTACATAAGCAAAATGCACCCTTTTTGAAGTACTGTTCTATGAGTTTTGCCAAAAACATACTGTTGTATAACCACCACCACAATCAAGATAGTGACTGTGGCAGACCTTTCACCCCAAAAGTTCCTTCATACCCCTTTCTGGTCAATCCCTTCCAACCTCCTCCCTGATGCCCACCAGTCAGACTTTTGTCTCTACAGTTTTGCCTGTTCCATAATGTCTGATCATTGCCTTTTTTTCTTTTTGCGGTACGCGGGCCTTCTACTGCTGCGGCCTCTCCCGTTGCGGAGCACAGGCTCCGGACGCGCAGGCCCAGCGGCCATGGCTCACGGGCCCAGCCGCTCCGCGGCACGTGGGATCTTCCCGGACTGGGCACGAACCCGTGTCCCCTGTATCGGCAGGCGGACTCTCAACCACTGCGCCAGCAGGGAAGCTCTGGTCATTGTCTTTTTTAAAGAATCATTATCTCTTTTTTTGTTGTTAATCTTTCCTTTTAAATCAGAAGGTCCATCATGTAGTCTGACATTCATGAAGGCAAACAACATGAACCAGATTTGAGAAAAAACTGATCTGAAAAAGGAGACCAGATTGTCTTCAGAGCAGGACGATCCTATGATGAGTCAAGCAAACGAGAATTTGGAAGATGGAGAAAGAATTAGGGGTGTATTGGGTTAAACCCATCTCTTTTAAAATGTTGAGGATAGTCTAAGGAAACCTAAGGAAGTAATTTTTTAAAGAGTTGTCTTCAGGCAAAAAGGTTGGTAAGAGGAAAAGACTGGAATTGACATAAATGTTCAAAGTAGTGAAGTAATATGGTTTTTTTTTTTTTAACATCTTTATTGGAGTATAATTGCTTTACAATGTATGTTAGTTTCAGCTTCACAACAAAAAGTAATATGGTTTTAATTGTCCCTAGTGAAGAAAAACAGGAGTGGCAGATCAAAATACCTAAATGATGCATTTGTCTGGAGGGAAGGCCAAATGATCCCTTGGAGCTCTATTGCAAAGGTTTTGCAGCAGTTTATAAATAGAGGAAAGTTGGGGAGTGGGGAGAGAATGACACTGAGTAATTGTTGAGAGTGCTATAAATTACCATGCAGTCATTAAAAATGACCTTTATGGACTTTTCCAAACTATTACTTTCTTGGTTTTCTGGTTTATTTTTAAATAGTGAATAGAGTGTTCATGACCCCACAAATTTATCTTTTTCCCTCCTATTTTCTAGCAGAGGTTTTTCCTACTCATTTTAAAATTTAAAAGTCATTAAAATATTGTTGTGTAGGGCCATCTGTGGTATGTGTTATTGCATGACTTACAATCCTTGAAATTCGTCTTCTTAATATTCCTATTTGGTGTTGATAGTCACTCTTATAAATGAGTTTTATGGAAAGCTTCCAGTAATGTGGAAAAATATTTTTAAATAAGTCGGATGCAAAACTGCCTATCATGTATGTCCTTAACCATATTTAAAATAGTTAGAAAATAGAATAGAAAAAAGGACATGGAGGAAAAATACCAAAGTATTAATAGCTGGAGTTGTGGCTGAAGCTTTGGGAATTTACCCTCTTCTGTCTGGGCCACGGTTCTGGTGAATTCTGTCGGGGTTTGTTTCCACCATGGCGCCCCCGTCCCCTGCCCTCTGCTCAGGGCTAAGTTTAGTGCCAGACGGCAGTGGTGAACTCCTGACACATTTCTCTCTCTCATCCTAAGCTTCTCTTACTTTCTTACTCTTTTTACCTTTAATGAGCAGTTCTGTTTATATATATTGTGTTATCGTCAGAGATCTCAAATCCATTTTATTACTAGAAATTGGTGACACATAAAAAAGGTAAGTGAATAGACACAGTCCACAGAGACACCTGGTTTTGTGCGGTGCAGCCACCAAGCTCCTCTTCATTCTAAGTTCTGGTCTCACCTCCTGGTGCGGTTCTGGGTTCTCACTTCTTGGTGTGGCTCTGGTTCTCACCTCCCGTAAGGGTTTCTTTTCACTGTGGGTCTGTGGCCATGAAGCCCTTAAGCTCTCCCCAGACTCCCTCTCAAGGGCCCTCCCTGATGTCCCCACCAAGCCCCACCCAGGACAGGAGTTGGCTCACCACAGGCTTCCCATCTTCCCAGGGAAAACCCTGCCCTCCTGGGGCCAGCCGCTGCTGTCACAGAACTTCGAGCTGCTGTGCCGGGATGGCAGCCGGGCTGATGTCACTGAATGGAGGCGATGCCACCTGGCTCGGGTGCCTGCTCATGCCGTGATGGTCCGGGCCGACACAGATGGGGGTCTCATCTTCCGGCTGCTCAACGAAGGCCAGGTGAGTTCAGGGCACCCCACACAGTTTCTTAGGGTGATGCTGGACCTTCTCGTCTCTCACCGGGGTTGGAGCTCAGAGCCATCCTGGGGCTGGGCCAGCCAGACTCGGAGGGCCAGGACCCCGAGGCCCTGCCCTGGGACAGACCCCAGCTGGGGAGCCAGACCTCTGGGGCGTTCGACCTCAGGCCAACTCAGAGTGAAGAAGGGACCAACTGGGCCAGCTGGCAGCGAGGAGGGCTGGCCAGAGTGGGGAGACCAGGGGGCTCAGGCACCCCTCAGAGAAAGTTCCTGGTATTTGTGGCTCTTAAAACCAAAATCAGAACATATGAGCAAATAAACAAAATGACAAAACCAATAAATGTCAAAGTATACCATTCATTAAGTGTGGTGAATAATGTTTTGCTGAAACCGCTGCTTACGGGAGCAGCAAGTTTCTGCCCGTGGGCCACACCAGCCCTAGTTAGTCTTGTTCATCCATATCGCCGATGCTCAGCCCCACTGCTTGTGCCGAGTATCGTCGCACACCTGGGCCACGAGCCACGCGTTCAACCGGCTGAGTAGGAGAAGGCAGAATGCACCGGGGGAGCACAGGGCAAGGAGGGAGGTGGTGCGCCCCCTGGTCCTCAGAGTGGGCGCCTGGCCTGAGAGCCCAGGAAGAAGGAAGTGGTGGCTGAACTGGGAGGAAAGGGTTCACCCCTGCAGCTGCTCACCAGCCCACACCCCGACCCCTTGACACACAGCGCCTGTTCAGCCACGAGGGCAGCAGCTTCCAGATGTTCAGCTCTGAGGCCTACGGCCAGAAGAACCTGCTGTTCAAAGACTCTACCTCCGAGCTGGTGCCCATCGCCACACAGACCTATGAGGCGTGGCTGGGCCGCGAGTACCTGCATGCCATGAAGGGTCTCCTCTGTGACCCCAACCGTAAGTCCAGCTGTCTCTTCTCCCGCCGGCCCTCGCCTGACCGCAGGCGTGGCCAGGCCTTCTGGAGAGGTGGCCAAAGGAGGACACTCACCCCAGAAGGTGTGTGTGTCTCTTGGCCTCGATGGGAACCTGTTGCTTCCACCTTCCTGCCTCTGGCGGTAGGGGAAGAAGACTCTGGAGTCGCATGGCCTGCTGTACCCTGGAAACCCCACCTGCTCCAGGGGGTGGGGTCCAGACCCGAAGGGTCTCCTTGCCCCTCCATACAGAATGTGTCAAGTCCTGTCATTCTCCCTCCACGTGCCTCACTCCCCCTCACCACGTGGCCACGGCCCTGGTTCTGGCACTGTCTCTCTCCTAGACCCTTAAAGTAGTCTACAAATGGCTTTTGCATCTATCCCCCGCCCCCACGTATCCACCACCTACAGCCAGGGAGATGGTATGCCAGGCCTGAGCTGTATATACGACAGCCATGATCTGCCTCAAGCATCCTCACAGCCCCTTGAAAGAGGTTCGGTGGTCCCCTTTCTGGGTAAGGAAACAGGATTAGATGGTGAAATAACTTACCCCTTGTAGCTAACCAGGGGAAGAGCCAGAATTTCCCTTGGGTCTGACTCTAGGCTCCTCCTGCTGGGGGCCAGCCCCGAGGCAGGCCAGCGTGACCACACGCCCACACCCACACAGGGCTGCCCCACTACCTGCGCTGGTGTGTGCTGTCCACGCCCGAGATCCAGAAGTGTGGAGACATGGCTGTGGCCTTCAGCCGGCAGAGGCTCAAGCCGGAGATCCAGTGTGTGTCCGCCGAGTCCCCCCAGCACTGCATGGAACGGATCCAGGTGGGAGCCGTGTCGAGAGGGGCAGAGCGGGCCAGGTGGGTGGGCAGTGGAGAGCGGTCGCGCCGTGGGAGAGGCGGGCCGGCCCCCCTGGCGGACACCAGCGCGCCCCCGCGGGTAACGCCCCCTCGCGGGAGAGCCCCCCGCGGGGCTGGGCGCAAGGAGGGGGGAGAGCCCGGTGACGGGTCTGGCTCCCTCGGCCCCGGGATTCGGCGAGCCCTGCTGCCGGGGGGCTGTAACACTCGGGGAGGGTGGGATGGGTGGTCCTTCCCGGCCCTCCCTCTGTCCCACCTGGTCTGGAGGACACAGGGCAGCCTGGGGAGGAGAAGAAAGTCTCCTGTGACAACGCCACAGAGAAGGGGGAAGAGGAAGTGGCCGCAGGAAACAGCCACCCCACCTGGGGGGCGGGGCAGAGGGGGGCTCCCCCCCCAGTGAGCAAGTGGGCAGGGGCAGAAGGACCGTGAGACCGGCTCAGCTTGGCACTCATGACCCTGTGGCCTTGGGCAAGCCCCTTCCCCTTTCTGAGTCTCAGTTTCCCCTTGTGCACAATACGGGGTGGCCTTGGCTCTTCATTTATTAAACTGCAACCCAGAGATACATTTTCCATCAATCACAGTCTAGTACACAAAAACTGTTCTTTCAGATGTAAACACGTAAAACTATGTATCCCCTATAGAGAGATATGAAGCCAAACAGTACTTACCTTTACTAAGTACAATGTGCGCTGATAGTCTCTGGGCTAGCCTATCCTAGTCCCCATTAAACTGACTAAGCCTTCGTTAACGTGCCTGCCGCCTGTAGTTAAAAGCACAGGCCTGTCTCTGAAAGCCCATTCAGCTCTGTCCTGCTTCGCTTCTCTGACTGGAGACTGAGACCAGGAGTGGGAGACGCGCCCGAGGCCCTGCCGTCAGGGATGAAGTCCTACAGGGCTCTCCTCCACCCCGGGTTCCTGGACTCACTTCCTCCTGCTTTTCAAGAGCTACTAGGTGGGGTCTGACGGTGAGGAGCCCTTTTCAAGGTGGTCCCCGAGTGCAGGCCAAGTCACAGCCCCTCAGGTGCGTCCACCCTGCCCCAGCCAGGCAGCACATGGCTTGAGAAGAAGCGAGTGGGCAGGAAGGACAGGGGCCCGGGATCGTGACACTAACAGTCTCATGAGCACGCACTTCCTATGCACCTCGCACCGTGCTAAGCCTTCATGCGGGTTTCCTCAATTAATCCTCACGACGACACTGTGGGGTGGATACGATTACTATCGTACGTGGAGACTGGGGCTGGGAGAGGCTGAGGGAGTAACTTGCCTCAGATCACCCAGCTGAAGGGCGGGGGAGCCCCTATCCCCAGGGGTTTATGAGAGCTGGATGTGGCACTGAGGGAGGGGAGCCCAGCGGGAATCAAGGAAGGGGGACTTAGCGGCGGGGACTCTTTTTCTAATCCCGGGCAGGCTGTCCTGTAGAGGAGCGGCTGTTCCGGGGGCACCAGAGCAGGGAGAGATGCAGGGAGATGCAACTGTCTCCAGGCACAATCCTTCTCTCCACCTGAGCTCACAGAGGGCCAAGGGGCTGCGCAGGGGCCTGTGGAGAGAGGAGTAGATTTGGAGAGTCCCTGAGAACCCCAGCCAAAGGCTCAGAGATCCTCAGTTCTAATTTCTAAGGTTCTCAGAGGTGATGTCCAGTGTAGCCCTAACACCCATTTCCTGCCTGACCGCAGTGATGCCGGCAAGGAAGGGTCAGCTGGCCCAGCCCCTGGGCTGTGGGTTAAGGTCTGGATTCCTCCCCGGCACCACACCACTGTGGAGAAGGTCTGGGTGGGAGCAAAAGGGGTTCCCCAGAGAGGCACCCTCCAGGCTCAAAACGTCAATGCCACTGCCCGTTATTCCATCGTCATAACCTCACGCCTCCGGCCCTGAACAGCGTCGGGCACCTTCCCGGGGTGCAGGTGTCCCCTCTGTCCCCGGGCCCCAGCTTCGTCCCTGGGGCTGTGGCTTGGTTATCAGTTAACTTCTTGCAGGGTCTGAGGAGCCGCCTGTCCGGAGACTTCAGAACGGACAGGCGGGGTGGGGTGCAGACGACCTGGAGGGCTCTAGAGGTTTCCGAGGGAGGAGGGTCCTGGGCCCCTCCTGCTGGCTTCTGAGGCAGGGCTGGATCCCTCAACCCTGGAGCCTCCTCCCACAGACCCTGAGACTCCGTCTTTTCAGACCCGGCTCATTCATCCGTTCACATACGCATTTGAGAAATACGTATCGCATTCGTGCTGTGTGCCAGCCCTTGGCCAGGTGCTGGGGCTGCAGTACAGTGCCGCAGGTGTCTGAGGCTGGCAAGCCGTGGGGAGACCCGCACCGAGCATGAGAGCAGGCACTGTGCTAGGTTCTGCTCAGAACAGGGCCTGGCAACGGGAGACCCTCAGAAAACACTTGCTGAAAGACTGAAAGACACCCATGAATGGGAATGCTGGTGGTGGTTTGTTTCAGGCCTCTGGTCCTCCAGGCACCTCTCTTGCCTGCCCATCTTCACAAGGAGAGGAAGGGGCAGATAGGGCAAGATAGGATTCCCGGGGGAAGGGAGCCTGGGGCCAAAGTCCCCGAGAGACCCAGCCTTGGCACCTCTGTCAGATCCCGACACCCAGAGCTGTCCTGGGGCCCACTCTAGCCTGGCCACTCTTTCTGTCCCCCTGCAGGCTGGGCAGATCGACGCTGTGACCCTGAAGGGCCAGGACATTTACACAGCGGGGAAGATATATGGCCTGGTTCCAGCAGCTGGGGAGCACTATGCCCGTGAGTGCAGGTGCCAGCCGCCTGGCCTCGGCTGGGAGCTGGTGGATATTTTTATATTTATAAAAACGACCCATCAGAGCCTTTCTCCCCAGGCCAGTTGCTGTCTATCACAGGCAAGCCACTCTGGCCCCGGGCACTGGAAGTTTGGAAGTCTGGCAGGCTTTGGAGAACTTTCTGTAAAGGGTCAGAGAGTAAACACTTCAGGCTCTGCAGGCCCCATACAGACTCTGCTGCATGTTCCTCTTCTCCTTCTTTTTTCTTTTTAACAACCCTTTAAAAATATAAAAATTATTTTTAACTTGCAACTCAGGCTGTACAAAAACAGGCTGAGTGATTTGCCAAGCCCTGAACTAGAAAGCCTCCTTGGCCTCTTCCATCCAGACCGCGTGGCTCACGGAAGGTGGCCCTGGGACCCTCCTTCCTGTCGGCTTATGAACACCTTCTCAGTGGCCTGGGCCAGGGCCCAGGTGCTCTGTGCTGAGGTCTAGTGACCTCAGGTGTCCTCCACTTGGACATGAAAACTCTCTCATCTTAGCGAAAGCGCTTCTGCAGCCTCAGCTATGCCCCCACCTTTCTCCCAGGAGGTGAGAAAATACCACCTGAGTGTAAGGAAAGAAACAAATTCCTCTGGGTGAGGACTGTTGGAGGGTGCGCAGAATGCTGAAAAGTGGAGCCCACGGGCTGCTTCTCAGCAGTGAGGGGACACGCAGGGGTCCCGCTGCTGGATGTGCTCCCTGAACACCCACCCGGCCCTTGGCCTGGGCACTCCTGAGCCCAGGCAGCAGGGCCTAGTACCAGCGGGTAGAGGCGTATGGGGCCAGGACCACTGCTCTGAGGTCAGGAGCAGCAAGAGGGAACGGGTTTGAGGGAAGAAGCGCCCCGTCAGGATCCGGCCCTGACTCTTGCTCAGCTGAGGCCACTAAGCATTAGATGAGGGGCCTCACTGGTGTCCCCTCCCCCAGCGGAGGACAGGAGCAACTCGTACTTCGTGGTGGCCGTGGTGAAGCGGAACAGCTCCTATGCCTTCACCCTGGACGAGCTGCGGGGCAAGCGCTCCTGCCACCCAGGCTTCGGCAGCCCTGCAGGCTGGGACATCCCCGTGGGCGCCCTTGTGCAGAGGGGCTTCATCCGGCCCAGGGACTGTGACGTCCTCACAGGTACCATCCTCTAGAGACACAGAGGTGTGCAAGCTCTTCTTTGGGGTTGGCTGGCGTCAGGGCCAGCTCTGAGGGCTGGGGTCCTCTCCCAGCAGGACCCCACAGAAGGCAGCCCCAGAGAGATGTCCTCTTCCTCCTTGACATGCCCCTTGCTCTTGGGAAGGTTGGGGAATATTCTTGGCTACACTTGAGACAGTCAGTGGTGTCTGGTTCTGTTGAAGGTGCCAGTGCCCCTACCCACTTACTCACTCAAGAGTGGAATAGTTCCAATGGGCATGGGGAGCAGGGTGAGTGCATTGGCCCTGGGCCTGGCTGTACCACCGTCCAGTCATGGGCTGTCCCCCTGGGCATCTGGGGGACCTTGTTGGAAAGTGGCCAGCCATCTGTATAAGTGCTGAAGAAGACACGTTCACCAGGCACCCACCATATGCCATACGCAGGGCCCTCCCTGGGTGTTAAATCATGTACATTCCTGGTGAGGGAAAGGCAGGAGGAAGCTGGCTGCACACACACCTCTGTCCTGGCTGGCACCTCGGGGGAAAAAAACACATTTTTTTTCTAACCACCCACACAAGCACATGTAAGGTGTTAGAACTGGCTGTTCCCACTCCTAGACAGCTGGGCGGTTGCTCTGACTGGAACAGAAAAGTTTATGAGGTAGCGAGTTCCCCGTCCCTGAGGGAGTTCAAGGGAAGGCTGTGTGGCCACTTACCAGGGGTTGTCACTGGGGGTGCCTGTATCTAGACAACCTCTGCAATGCCCCCGTCCCTGTGATCCTCACAGGAGGAGACACGCCACTCTGAGCTGGGTGGGCACTGGAGCAGACGGGTGGCCTTGAGCCATGGGGCGGGCCAGTGGGCAGATCTGTGCGGGGAGCAGCCCACCCATCTCCCCGCTGGCCGCCCTTTCTGCTGCTGGCCCCTCAGCACAGCCCTTCCCCTCTGCCCCAGCGGTGAGTGAGTTCTTCAGTGCCAGCTGTGTGCCCGTGAACAACCCCAAGAACTACCCGTCCTCGCTGTGCGCACTCTGCGTGGGAGACGAACAAGGCCACAACAAGTGTGTGGGAAACAGCCAGGAGAGGTACTACGGCTACAGTGGCGCCTTCAGGTACCTGGCGGGCCGGGAGGGGTGTGGGGAGGTGGTCCTGGGGCCAGGCACAGGGGTGGGACCTTCTGCCGACACCTGTCTTGGCTTCTTGCGTGGCAGATGCCTGGTTGAGAATGCAGGGGACGTTGCCTTCGTTAAGCACACGACTGTCTTCGACAACACGAATGGTATGTGATGGCGCTGGGACACGGCAGGGCCAGACTCTGGCGGGGCTGTTCCCCATCTCCAGCAGAATCCAGACACTAGATGGTGCTGGGACTGGGGGCCAAGTGGCAGCCAGGAAAGACTGAGTCTAGAAGGCTCTGCCCCTTGGGGATCCCAGGAGCCCCAAAGGCCGAGTGGTAAGAACAGACCTCAGGCCACGTATCCAGATGCACAGATCACATGACAGCCTTTATTTGTCTGGCATCTAAATCCCCATTCCACTGAAATGGTAGAAACCCAATCAATTTGGAGAGAACCCATTCTTGGGTGTCTATGTGGCACCCAGGTGTGTGGGTAGAGGTGGCAGGGGCCTCTCTCCCCAGGGTTATCGGTTCACATCAGCATCTGGTGTTTGGTCCTGAGCAGGTCAATGCCACGCGCAGGGAAATCACTCTGCAGCCCCCGAGCCGTGTGAGGCAGGGCACACCCCCATTCACATCATACAGGTGGTTTTTTTCTCTGGAGTCACCTTCCTGGGCTCCACCCGGGAAGAAGAGCTCAGGAACTCCTCCAGGACCCCTAAGCCCCCACCTGAGGTCCTATCGGGGTGCAGGCCCTTGACCGTGCATCACCCCCCTGCCCCATCCTGTTCTCCCTCCTCAGGGAATCTATCCATTTTGAAGACTGAAAGCTGTTTCCCTTCAACACTTTATTGTTTGCATTTTCTATATACCCTGCCTACACCCCAGGCTTTGAAACCCCAAACACTGGAGGTTAAGTCTTCTCCACTCTGTCCTGACACATCTCTTCCCGGGAACTCAGGGCAGAAAGGCAGAAGGCCCGAAGGGGAGGAGGACATTGGCAAAGGGAAAGCAAGACACGCAGGGAAAAAACATCAGTCAGTATTTCAAAACTCAGATCCCACCCTGCCTATGAAAGTCACTAAGCTGTAGACCAGTTGCCCCAACAGAGCTGGAAGCGTTCCAGGCCCTGTTGCCATACCCTCCCTCTCCTGCCAACCTCCCACCAAGAACACTGGGGATCATCCCCGAGAAGGAGGGAACTGCGTGCTCCTGCAGGAGCTGTGAGCGCTGCCTGGTCCCAGCCTGTGCCCTCTGTGGTCCTGGGCTGAGGGCCGGGGAGGAGGCGGGGCCCTTGCGAGGTTCACCTGCAGTGAGGCGACCGCCTCCCAGGGCCACTCAAATTCTTTTATCTCTGCTTGTGAGCCCACCTGGAGTTCCTCCTGGAAATACAGGAAGACATAAAAATAATGTAATTCCTAAGAGTAGTGTTTGTCAGGAAGCCTTCGGACCAACCACCTGCATCAGAATTACTGGGTTGCTAGTTTAAAATGCAGATTCCTGGTACCCATTCTAGACCTACCTGATGACATTCTTTGCAAGGAGGGGCCTTTGAAACTGCATCTTACAGATCCATACTTGATGTTATACCTCTTCTGGCTTGAGAACTTCAGCTCTTAGGGGAGGAGCACATCCCGCCCTGAGACCTGTAACACACAGATGGAGTTCTTTGCCGGGGAGTGATTAAGAGCCTCAGTTTCTCCACCTGTAAAATGGGAGTGATCATACAGTGCAGAGTTACATAGTGCATACTTTCTATTCCCTACGAATAACCTTATTAGCCCAGCTGGGTTCTCTCATAGAGCATAGCAACTGAAGAATGGAGAGGGCTGGGGAGCTGGCCAGGTATCACCGCCCCTCCCTAGCCAAGGATTTGGGGATCCCCGAGGAGAGCAGCCTCTCTCTATTCCTCTCCCTGCCTCTGCTCCATCCCCTCAGGCCACAATTCTGAGCCCTGGGCTGCTGAGCTCATGTCAGAGGACTACGAGCTGCTGTGTCCCAATGGCGCCCGGGCCGAGGTGACCCAGTTCGCAGCCTGCAACCTGGCACAGATACCGTCCCATGCCGTCATGGTCCGGCCGGACACCAACATCTTCACTGTGTATGGACTGCTGGACAAGGCCCAGGTGAGCCAGGGCAGGGGCTGCCTCACTGGGAGGAGGGTGACAGAGGGGAGCCAAGACCCCGGGTCACCTCAGTCTACCTGGAGCAGGCTTCAGGAAAAACTGAGGAAGCCTGAGGGGAATTCTGTGATTTTCACTTAGCCGAAGCCCTCCCTCCAACCACTGTGCCCTCTGTCACCTACATCATTAATTTTCCCTTCTCAGCTGGACCATTCTCGCCAACATACAAACTTGCTGTTATTTCTACCATCTCGTAAAAACAAATGAACCCTCTTTTGGCCTCACATCCCCTTGTAGCCGTAATCCCACTCCCTTCTACGGCAAAACTCCTTCAAAGAGCCTTCTCTACTCTGGAGTCATCTGTTCCTCCTCTCCTGGTCTCTCTTAAGGATGGAGACTACGCTGGAGAGGCCCCACCAGGGCCCTGAAACTGCCTTGGTCAAGGTCGCCATGACCCATGTTGCTGAATAGAACGGCTGTTTCTCAGTCTGCCTCTCCCTGACCTCTCAGCAGCATTGGCTGCAGCTCCCTCTTCCTGAAGTTCACCTTCTTCCTGGACGCAGTTCCGCCACTTGGTTCCCAGGGCCCCACGCTTGCCTGGCTCTCCTCCTACCTCTCTGGCCTCTCCTTCCCGTCTCCTTTGCTGGTTCTTCCTCGTTTCCCTGGCTGGTAACCACCGGAGTGCCCTAGGGTTCAATCCTAAGCCCTCTTCTCTGTCGGCACCTGCACCCATATTGATCTCGTCCAGCCACAGGTCATTAACTACAGTCTATATACTGATGACTCCTAAGTGTACATCCTCAGCCCTGCTTCAGTCCCACCCTTTAATCTCAAACTTGCATCTTTAACAACTACCTACTTGACATTTCAATTTCTAACAGGCATCTTGAGCTGAACAAATCAAAGTTGGACTCCCCTTTTTCCCTCCATCTTCCCCACTTCAGTGAATAGCAACTTCAGCCTTTCCATCTCCTCAGGGGTCAGCTCAGACTCCTGTCTTCCTCTCACACTCTACTTCCCGTGCATCAGCAAATCCTATTGGCCTAAAAACAAACACCTAAAACACACCTAAAATTTGAACCCAGGCTGTCTGACAGCAGGGCCCTTGGTTCCCAACCTCCCCCTCTACGCACCCCCGACCTGACATAGACCGAAACTGACCTCCTTTCCCTTCCCCCATAAGCGCCACAGACTCGCAGAGCCAGCTGGCTCTCCAGGCCAGTTCGTAACCTTTGAAATGATGTTTGCTCTCATCTTCCCCACAGAGTCCCTCTGTCCCAGGAGTTCTTGTCTCTGGGTCCCTGGGCTTCCCCACGGGTCCCCAAACCCTCTGAAGTGATGTGGAAGAGCCCTGTGTAGATGTGCCCTTTTCTGGGGAGAAGACTGAGAACTTTCATCAGATCCTCAAGAGGATCCTCGAGTCCCCCCAGAAAGATCAATAACCGCCTTACTCTTTCTTTCCCCCTTGATTGGTATTTAAAAGCTGACATAAGCATTCGTCCATGTTCTCCTGATGTCCTGCATGGATTCATAATGTCTCACATCCCTTCTGGCCTCTTTAGTGACTCTCTCAGGGCGGGAGCCATAGCACATTCACCCCGAGGACGCTCAGCAAGGGAAGACAACAGCTGCTGCAAGAATCTCTTGGGTGCTAGGAGGGTGGGTTAGTAAAGGGTATTCAACTCACCTAGTACCTTCTTAGAGCTAGTGACAGAGCAAAAGGCTCTCTTATGAAATCATTTGGGTTTGGGGAAAAGATAAGATAAGAGTGAGAAAGCCTGGTAGAAGAGGTTGAGGAGTGCTGAGCAGGTTTAGCAACCCCCTCAGTAACCTCAACTACATCATCTCTCATTTCTGGGTCCTTCTGCCTGTGAGGCTCAGGCTTCAGTTCTGTATCCAAGAGCTGGTTTGGTGTAATGTTTCTGAATGGCTGTCTTACTGTGGTGGCTGTGGTCATCTCTTCCTCCAAATCTGCTTTGGTAACAGAGGTCAATGAGTTGTCAAGCTTATGATTTCAAAGCAGAGTCTTGGCATCTGACTTTTCCTGCTGCTTGGTGTATAAAGCAGTTAGTGGCAAGTGATACCCGGGTGACCCTTTGTGAGCCCAGATGCAAAGCAGGTCTGCTGTGTGCTTCCAGGACCTGTTTGGAGATGACCACAATAAGAATGGGTTCAAAATGTTCGACTCCTCCAACTATCATGGCCAAGACCTGCTTTTCAAGGATGCCACCCTCCGGGCAGTACCTGTGGGAGAGAAAACTACTTACCATGACTGGCTAGGCCCCGACTACGTGGCAGCTCTGGAAGGGATGCTGTCTCAGCAGTGCTCAGACACAGGTAGGGCGGGACAGGTGGGTTCGCACCCCACAGAGGAAGAGTGGGCATACTCCCCGGGCAGCTTTCTAAGCCTTTCACCCAAAACCTTGAGTGAACTGAAGGGCCCTCTGGGTCTTTGCAGACGATCAAGGTGAAGTGTCCTGGGAGGGTCTGAAACACTGGCTGTGGAACCCAGACAGACCTGGATAATGATTATAAATGCTAAAAATAGTCACCCAGACAGGATTCAGGCAACTGCATAAATATACATGTAGTATAATTGTGAAAGAAATGAATATGTAAAGAAACCAGGGGAAAGAAAAATTGTAACAGGGTAGCCAGAGGGAGCCCGAGGTGACTTTAGTGCTGAAAAGTATTCTGCATCTAGTCCTGCACATGAGTGCCAGCGGGCCACAAACAGGGCTCTCGGCACTCGGAGGCCTTAACCGCCTGTGTTTAATCCCTCAGCGCTCGTGGCCTCCAGGGTCTCCCCACTCCTGCTGCTGCTCCCACCGGCCCTCACGGCCAGCCTCCTCCAGCCCTGCCTCTGAAGCCGCTCTGGGCAAGCCTCGCCCTCCCTTGGAATGGAAGCCTATTCAGAAATCTCCCTAAGTAAGGCTGTTCTCCTCAGTAAATCCAGTTAACACAGCTCAGGGGGAAACGTGTGCAGGGAGAGGAAGAGTGAGAAACCACAGAGCTCCC